CCAGCCCCAAAACTGAGCCCTGGGGAAAATGAACTGATCAAAAATTACTGCATATTGCTTTGTCAAGGTATGATGGCTTACATCCAACATAAAATATGATGATTAGAAATGAAACAGAATAACCAAAAATAAAGCAAGAATCCACTCGTGGAACATTATTTAATAGGCATTAGGCAATTTTTAACAAGCACTTAACAAACATTGAAGTGCTGAAAACAAAGGTCTGTAGCAGAAAGTGAAGTTCACTCTTTATCATCTTCTGCAACTTTAAGTATAAAATAAAAAAGAATCAAATAAAGAGCACTGTAAACAAAATATGGCAACCTACTACTTTTTTTGATAATTCACAATGATGGCCCACTCAAGATATACGCTATTCGTATCCAAACTATGCTAATATTTGTTCTGTCAGAATATTGGAACTCAAATACTAATTTCTTCTTCCAAACAAGAGTATAAAAAAAGAAATAAACTGCTTGACCACATATAGTTTTGAATATTCTTTAATGACACAAACCAAAGTAGCTTTCTTGCTGTGGAGCTGTATTCCCCAGTGATCTAATCATGTCCCCCTCAAGTTGGCAGGATCTTTGACAAAAGCATCCTGGAACTCAAGCATACAAAAGCATTTCTCTTTACCACCAGACCCCAGTGAAAATCTTATTCAAGTCCTTCAAAACTGCAGTGAGAAAAAATTGACATGAATATAAGGAAAGCACAACAGGAATCCAAAACGTATCAAGAAAAAAGACACAATGGGGAAAAACAAAGCTACCTATAAACAGCTATAGAAATTCAGTTCAGGTACGCATGTACTACCATTAAAAAAAAAAGTATCAGGAGTAAGATGAGTATCTGTAAGAAAGGGCACATTAAAGATAGATTAGTAAGGAAGTTCATGTGCTAGGAATCAAGAAACACAGCTCTGGGATGATAGACAAAGTGCAAGAACTGCCAGAAACTTGCCTAAACTTCCGACGGTTTTAAAATAAGTATCAAAAGATTCAAACAGGTGAATAAAAAAATCCAAACCATTAAGGAAGAATCATTACAGAAGCAGTTCCATTTAAGAACTGCTCCTCTGAAATAGAAAGTGTTTTCCAAATCTGTTCTTCACAATCTCTTCTAAAAAAAAAATTTCTGCAATAAAACTTCACACTTCAGAAATTTATGAATAGAATACATTTATTAAACTCTACTTACACTATTTTTGCAGTATCTTCACAAAAGTCAATACGCAACGTCACTGGCTTTGTACGATACAGTCTACACTTTTTTGCTCTATATGGGATCTGCATAAATGCTTCCAGTGCAACTCGAATGCTTAAAAACAAAGCAGAAATAATCTCATTTTACAGCGCAGATTTTATTCTCCAGCAGTCATCGGTATCATACACATCCTTCCGTTACCCTGCATCTGACAACACAGTTCTTCCAGAAGTTTCGCTCCCACTGCGAAACACTCTGGAACCATTGTTTTATTTTTCTCTCCAAGAGAGGTGCTACCAGGAGCAATTAGTGAACAGATTCACTCTGGATATGAATATAGTTCCTATTTACTTGAAATCTTTCTGATCCTTCCCCACTACAGTTTGAAGCCTTTTCATCGTATTTAGCCCTCATGCTACCACATATACCACCTAGCACTGCATATTCCATTTTGCAGTTATTACTTCTGTGTGAGAAACCAGGTATGATTAACATCAGCAAGAAGGAAATCTAATAAACTAATTTGCATTTGTACTCATTTTCCTAAAAAGAATTTATTCTTTATAAAGGTATCACTAGAGTGTTAATCTTATCCTTTACACTTGGTTTGGTTGGAGACTTTTAATAACCAGCAAGATGCCGTATATAGCAAGCTTTTAAGATCCATGTATTTATCACTTTTGTTCAATTTTTTCTTTTACAATGAAAAAGCAATAAATCACACATTTACTTCTAGTTGAACATATTTTAAACTCAGGGCATTGTCAAGTTGTTTTCCAATACAGCAACATTCGATTTAAAAACATTATTTAACTTAAGATTTATTTTAAAGTATTTTAAATAAGCTTTCTTAATTTTGTGGAATACTACAGAAAAACATTTAGTAAAGCTTCTTGTACCCAAAATTTGCATATTTTATTAGAGAATTGAACTTTAAATCTTGCTAAGAGGTGGAACAGGTTTTTTTTAGAACACATTAAGATTTTAGAAACAGTAGGTTTCATAGTGGTTTTATTAAAAACTCAGAACCTGTGAAAATTCACCTTTTTGTGCCATGCCAAGACAGACTGTCAGCTCTTAGGAAAGTAAACAAGCTAGTAAACTCCAGTGGGAAAAAACCCACATATTTGCGCTTAGACATCAAAAGCTGGTTCAGCAAGTGAAACTCTGCTTCTATATACACTTTGTGAGTGATCTTCACTGGTTATAATTTTTTAATATATAATCACTTAATAAGGGAGGAAAGTATATATAAATAATGTTAACTGGCAATCATACATTTCAATCATAAGAAACTGACATTATTTCTATTTCAAATCTTTAAAAAAACCCCAAAACCTACAACAGAAGGCATCTTTAAAAATTCACAAAACAAAGCCTGGTTTGCATCCACCCTTGCAAGGGCCTATCATACAGCTAGCAGTTTTTTGTGGACCCAACCCACACCTCAATTCAACCAAAGCCCTGTCACTCTCAGTCTAAATAAATATTAATAATATCTGTATGCATTAACTAACAAATACATTTCAGTTACAGTGTCAAAACCCCCAAACACTTACTCCTTTGATTTAACAAAAATGTATTTGGCATAATCCACAAGAAAACATTCTGTTTGATAATGATCTGTACAGTACATGATTGACTTAATAACCGCTCTACACCAGCATTTGAGTTCCTCACTGAAAACCACACAAATCTGAAAAAGAAAGAACAAGACAGCAGGTTCTTGTAAATGGAGTAAGTTACACTGAGAAGTTTTTTTAGAGGCAAGAATATAGTATTTATTAGACAGCCCTCCATTTTCTTTTTAAAATGCAAGCGTTTCAACTTACGTAGTTATGAAGTTTACAGATAAGAAGATATAACCCATATAGATGCCATTAACTACTTTTCTACATAGCAATATTAAAAAAAAGATTAACGCATATCTTGGATACTTCACCCCCAAACCAATGCAAGTAACAGATTATTTCTCTCTATCTGCACAATATAGCAATGAGTTTACCTGGCCTTCTTCCACCATTAGTGGTTTTACTTCATCCACATCTTTACAAGATTTGTCATAGAACTGATTCATTTCAGCATTCAGGTTTTTATATTCTATTTCATCGACTATGTAAGGCCCACATCCTTTCATAGTAACCCAAAAGCAACCTGGATCTTCAATCTGGGGCAAGGGGTAGATAACAATAACAAATACTATAAGCTCCTGCTAAAACAATAGGATGTTTTTAAGAACATCTGAGCAGCAAATGTAAAAGTAAAACTTAAAATCTTTAGTGAGGCACCTTAAAAATTATAGTGACTGATACTTAGCATACAGAATGGTAACAAGCAAAACATCTTCCAACTTCAGACCATTAGTTTATTAAATGGCTTCTCAGCTTGCAAGTTTCTTTAGCACTGCAATTAATAGCATGGGTATTCTAAAAGGTAGTAGCATTATCTAAAAAGTTGGTTAAACCAAACAGTGGGTAAAGTGCAAAGACATGAAGCTTTTTACTTCCATATTGTCCTCAAGAATCATGTATAAAAAACCCAAAACACACAACAAACACCACAAAGGGACTTTTCTTCATGCTCAGAGTCTACAAGACAGTTAGTTTCTTTAAAATGAGGTCATAGCTTTCTGCTCAGCCTTTATGAACCAGTCTTTCAGCTGATCAGGGTCCCCAGTTGTTATGGGTTAATCCCAGTACGCAGCTAAACACCACATAGCTGCTCCCTCGCTCCTTCACTCCTCTGCAGTGGAACGACTGAGTGAATTGGAAGGGTAAAAGTGAGAAAACTCATGGTTTGATATAAAAACAGCTGAATAGGTAAAGCAAAAGCTACACATGCAAGCAAAGCAAAGTAAGGAATGCATTCACTGTTTTGCATTGGCAGGCAGCTGTTCAGCCATTTCCAGGAAAACAGGGCTTCATCACACATAACACTGACTTGGGAAGACAAATTTGATAACCACAGACATCCCCCTTTCTTCCTCCTTCCCCACTGCTTTTATTGCCGAGCATGACATCATATGGTATGGAATACCCCTTGGGTCAGCTGTCCTGCCTGTACTCTGAGAAAACAATTTTTCCGTGATCTCGTGGAATATGGTAAAACCTAGTACTATACTACACTCTATTTAAGATTATGTTGCACATCTTCCATTTTAGATTATAGCTGCATCCCTACTGACCTCTTTTGAGATGAAACCAATATAAACACCTAAAAGAAATGACAAAACATATATAATCCATACATGACCCCAGACATGTAATAAAGTGCTGCTGAATGGAAATGCAGAGGCATCATCTTATTTGTAAATCTGACTTCCAGAGAGTTGCACTGAAACAAACAAACAGCAATCCTTTAGACTTTAAAAAACACCAGCATACCTCTAATACCAAGACTTCCATGTTTGTCAGCTAGTCTTCCTCAACACTATTGTAAAAGAACAACAAACATTTGATTAACCATTTTTAAAGCCATCATTTGTTTTGAGGCATATCTAAAAAGTGCACACCTAACGCAAGCCTATAGATTTTTGCTACTTGTCTCAGGAGTACTAGTCTAGGCAACTGATTTACCCACATTAAAGGGTTCAAACAAGCCTTCTTAATGAGGCATTATGTTAAATCCTAATTAAGATTTGCCATCCATACTTATTTACAAACAACCACAACAATTTTTAGTACACCAAAACACACTCGGTATTCTCAACCTACTTACAGTATGCAGCTGCCTGTATTACATTCAAAGGTCAACAGAAATAGGCTGATCGAAGACAAGGGCTGCTACAATCTATCTACATGACCAACACCAGAGGGAAATGCTTGCATTATTTAAAAAAAAAAACAACACAACAAAACACATCTAACACAAAAGAAGAGTTCCAACCTTCGCAAACAATTTTAACGTAACAGAGACTTTTACTGGTATTTCACATTACATTCATCTGCAATAGTATGTATCATATCTAGGAATTACAATGGAGTAAAAACCTACCTACAGACTGAAGTAATTCGTATTTCATTTTGGCACAAACCAGCACATCACGATATCATCACCGCAGCATCTAGCTTACCACTTAAAAGAATTCACACTGGAAGGAGGTGCCTAGTAAAATGTTTTGGGAGCAGAAAGTCAAAACATTGACCTTCCACTTCCAAAGCTAGTGTTGAACAAGTCAGCACTAAATAAGAAGCAATACAGCTACACTGTGGTCATAACTAGCAACATGCTTTGCTAAGAGATGGTACTATTACCAGTTTGAAACTACAATGAAACAGCTGAAATTATTTTAAAAGCTTTACCTAGTATCATATGACACAAGCATACCATCCAAGTTACACAAAAGTCTCTTAACACTGCACTGTAATATACTGTAACATGAGATACATAGTGCTGCCTTACACACTTAAAAACCATACACTTTTATTTCAGGAATAACATGTGAGAGGCATAACCAACCTCTCCTAATCTCTCAGTTTGAGAGGTACAAAACCAAGAAATGACCTATCAAAGTATCAAGGATAAAGCACACCCACATAAAAGGCTAGCTCTCCTAATATATTCCTAGTAACATATACCCACTTTGTTACTAAGAACTAAGAAATAACACAAATGTTTGCTCAAATCCCATACCCAGCACTAAGGATATTTACCTTGCAAAGATGCAAGAGATCATTAAACCCCTCATGAAACCAATATAAATACCTAAAAGAAATGACAAAACATATATAATCCGCAACTGCCACCTTAAGAAAAACATCACAGGAGAAGGTAAAAGGATGCCTCTCCAGCAACGCAAGTCTGACACAAACACTCTTACAAAAAACAACGACCTCGCTATCCCAGCCTCTCTCCCTCTAGTCAGTCTTACTCCAGCTAAAAAACTCACCTCTAAAAGGCACAGTGCAAGGAAAGAAGAGCACAGTAAAAAGCAAAAAACTGTTAAGAAACTATGTTTTTTTGCTTTATTCCCTACCCGCCCCAGCTTCCTTCATATTCTGCCGTAGTTT